CAGCTTAAAAAAAAATCTGAAATGATGGGTCACAACACGTCCTTCATATTTAAAATAATTTATCACATTTCAAAATGGCGGATCCAAGATGGCGGCCGAATAAAATACATCTGTAATAACCAAGTGAAAATAGGTCGACAATGACTGGTAGCGTATACTTATCTTTATCTATCACTATTTTGAGATTATGGTCTTAGCTTGTAAATGCACAATGTTAAAATGGGTTAAAAATAAAGCTTTAAAAAACCCTCATAACTTTGGAAGGAATCAAGATTTTTAAAAACGGTTTGCGGCATTGTAATCAAGGTAGAAATGTAGTTCGAAATAATGGGTCACAACCCCACCTTTACATTTGAAAAAAATATTTTGCATCCAATATGGCGGATCCAAGATGGCGGCCGGAAATGACCACCTTGTCAAAATTAAGTACTTACTACCCAACATTGTTTGGAAGTGGTCTGGGATTGATATTTGAAAAAATGTAGAAAAAAGTTGGGGGGGGGGACAATTAAAACTCACCCTGTATATATATAACTCAAAATCGAAAATTGCCGACAAGAGGTTCCTATTCGCTTTCCACATCACATTTTAAAGTCTTGGATTGTATTTATCAGGATTGAATTAACCAGGTGCTTTTATAAACGGGCAGACTGGGCATATGCCCAGGGGCGCCAGTGAATGAGGGGCCGGGTCTGGCGGGTGCCGTACAACTACTGCCCGCCCGCTTTAGGAAAAAAGGGGGCGCTGATTTTGAGTTTGCCCAGGGCTCCACTGACCCTTAACGCAGCCTAATCAGGAGAGGCAAGAGATGAGTTTTACCTGACTACATTTTTTAAACACAAAAAATAAAAGCCAAGAGTATTAAAAAAAGATAACTTGATTTTTGTGATTTAGATTATTTAATAAAAGAACACACCTATTTGGGGGGTTTTAAACCAAGCAAAATTAGGACCAAGTCCTGTCTTCCATTCTGCCTGGCGGGGTACGGCCCTTGAGGGAACCATTCCGGCATTCGCCTAAGTGAGGAAAGAAACCGTACAAACTCTCCTCAGAATGGTCGGCCTGATAGTCAGACCTCCCGAATGTGAGGCAGCATGATGCTACCTCACTCGGTCAGATTACATGGAATGATTTATTACTAAAAACATATACTTATCACTAAGTACAAAATATACTTAATACTAAATACATGTTATACTTAACACTAAAGTAGATAACATACTTAATACTAACAAGTCTGTTCTAGCTCATACTTTTTTACCGTACATCTTCCTTCAGTCCTTGTCCTACTTGTCTTCAAACGGCTCAAAGTAATGCTGAAGAACTTTTTAGTTTCTTCTCCTTGAAAATTCCCAGATATCTTCTCATCCATTGTTGCATTCATCTCCAACATTGCATCATGTCCCTTAAACATGTTCCCATGGAACATCCTTTGGCACTTAACTCTGAGCAAGAGCAACCTTTCACCAATGTAGATCCTTCTTGCTTTACAGAAGCAATATAACATCATGCCTCCGTGAGGTTATTTAACCTCCCATTTTCCCAGGAGTCCCTATGTAGCATACAAATGGAAGAATTCTACCAAGTTTTCTCTGAATTTTCACTTTTCATGACTGATCTACTTTTTACCTTCTGGCTTAGTGCCTAGGCACTAAACATATTTGAGTCTGTAGCCTTCCTCAAAATAGTTTTGACAGGAGGATTAATTTCATCTTGAGTTTATTTTTTGGTTCAGTGAATGAATTAAATACATGGTTTCTATGGGAACTGATATTTTATGTCAACATACCACTGTTCAAGGAGATGTGTTCTTTTACTGTATAGATTGATACATTCCATTTTCTAAGTAAAGCTGGAACCAAATTTATAATGAAAACAAGTGTATTAAACAAGCCTTTGACAGAATATTCTGCTCAATTGCTGATTTGTTTTATACTCCAAACTTTAATCAAACCAAGCAGAAAGGGCAACTTGTAATCAATTATCAAATATCAATTATTGGCGCTATGTGCATATTTTAACCCAAATATGAGTGAAGGTTGAGTGTAGGATGAGATCTTGTAGTCTTGTTAGTGACCAAAAGGCCAACATATTCCTTAAGACACAGCTGTTAATTATTAGCCCAAACAGCCCATGGCAACTAAAGGGACTTACAGGTAATAGTGGAATCCGAACCACATTGGTATTAACAAATTGGTCTAATTATCAGATACGGATATTTATATTTATATTTTTGTAATATCAGGCTTACCTACGTGGGTAAAAGTCTACTTTGGCATAAGAAACCAAAAGTGTATTCCTCTTACACCAAGACATCTCTCTTCCCAAGTCAAACTTTCCTTAGTTGAAAATGATATAATATTCATCAGTAGAATATTCTACTTGCGAACGGTTGGACTTTTCTCATCCCAACTCAAACCTCCTTTAGCTTACGAGATTGAATTTTTAGTTCAAGACAAGATGAGAAGGGATTTTTTATTTCTCATCAAATTTAGAGACGAGATCGAGACGGGATTTCCTTTCTTATACATAACGGTAAATGCATGTTCAAAATTTTTACCTGATTTTGTAATGTTAAATATGTATTGATTTATGACGGATGACTGTTAAAAAAAAAAATAATAATAATAATAGGCAAGAATATTTAAAATCTTTTATTAAAAAACATCAGCATAAAAAAATGTTTATTTATTATGCCTACCTTATTAAAAATAACTCTTGCGCTTAGGAAATATGGTGATATCAGTTAGGATAGAGTTAAACTTTGAAAATTACCAAATTTATCTTAAATTCTTAAACTTCAGTCTTACTGGGTAAGTATCAAGTAACAATTATTCAGTCTTGTGTTATTTTTAAAATTATATTATAGGAGTGACTTGTTTTGGCTATGAATAAAGAAAGAAAAAGGTGCTTTATTTTTCACAATTCATTTACACCCTGTCATATATACAATAACAAAAAAACAATGGTTTATTTAAATCGTCTGTTTGGTTGGCACCCTGCTTTGAATGAACATTATTTAAAAACTGTAACATAAAGTACCTAACTATATTTAAATTCAGCTCGTAAAAAAACTGATCATAAAATAAAAGCAATGTTAATTAGTATAAAATATTTACTTGTTTTGGCTATGTTTACAGTAGTAAAACATGTCTCACACTGCTTACACTTAACAAAACTTCTCATCATTTGTGATGTCAAAACATAAAAATTATAAAACAATTAAAGTAATATTTACCTGTAAAGAATTAATTAAATAAGAACGCCTTCGCAAAGGAAACGCAACTACAACCAACGTGCTCAGGTGTTGCGGATATTGCATTGACTTTCTGCAGGCGTTTTTATTATTTTTTTATCTCGTCTTGAAAAAATCGGACGCGTTGCAGAAAGTCAACAGTCCCGGAAGGTCAAATAATTTATACCTGTGCCGCTAGGTCAAAATCTACAATGTTTGCAGTGTCTGTAGATCAAAAATCCCAGTAAGTCAAATAGTACAGTCCGAGCTAAAAACGTGGTCTATGTTAAAGCAATTGACTTATTGGGAATTTGACCTAATGCAACAGCAGTTTTAATATAACGAAATAAGATAAAATATGGACGCGTTGCAGAAAGTCAACAGTCCCGGAAGGTCAAATAATTTATACCTGTGCCGCTAGGTCAAAATCTACAATGTTTGCCGGGACTGTTGACTTTCAGCAACATTCCCGAAAAAATCTCGATCAAAATAAAATCTCGTCTCGTAGGACGAAATTTCAACTTAACCGACATTTCGAGACTTGTTTATCTTTACTTAAAATGCAAATTTAGGGTTTCTTGTTCACAAATGGACACTTTCCCATTTAGTTAACCTGATATACTAATATGACAATTATTTATATCACCAATGTTAGCCATAGCTTCCACTCTGTATAGTGCTATTCCCACTCTTGGGAATAACAAAAATTGAAAATTGAAATTGGGAATAACAAAAATTGAATAACAAAAATTCATTGCTGCACCCCAATGTTTTTGATCCTTTTTGAAACTTTCTTTATCAATGCAGACAGACACGTAAGGGCGGCTGAACATGGAAGAGAATTTAAAGAGCAGGAGGAAATCCAACGAGAGGAGGGAAGAAATTTCATTTGGAAAAAAATTATCAGCTTAGCAAAGAACAATTCGATTTGTTAATTAACTAATGTCTACCTCCAATACTATGTTTTGAGTAGATTACATAAATTCACCAGTGTTAATATAATAAACGTATGATGGCACTTGCTATGAACTGGTTGTGCAGTTATTATATTTATTAGTAATTTATTTCTTTTCCTTTGTTTAAACAACCATGAAATTCCTCAAAAGGGTAGGGGTGACCTCTCCTAAAAGAGCCGATTTTAGTGTGTGATCCAAGTGCGCTCCAAGTTTGATCTGTGTTGTTTTATATGATTAGTACTTATCTATGTTATGGTAAATTTTTTAATTGTTTCTTACTCTTTAGTTTATCTCCTATTTTATTATGTTTGAATGTGCAGATGTTAACCAAACAGTTTAATATTTGGCATTTTTTTAGGTGTAATTAATTTTTAGTTTAGTACAACAATTTTTCGGATATATACAAGGATTGCGATTTTAGTACTACCGTAAAGTAAAGCTTTAGCTATTAAAGTAGTAAGTCTACAAATAGATATTTATAATTAGTTGAAATGGTTTAAGTTGGAATACAAGAAGCAAAGGAGTAAAGTACAAACGCCCTCAACATAAACTAGACAGAAACTAACCATAAAGTTATCTTTATCTGCACAAAGATGGTAAATCAATAATGAGTAATGAGTATATAATGTTTAATATATGGTATATATCCAATATTATTTCGTTGTTAGTAATTCCACTCCGACTATTCGTACTGTATGCTTCACATAGCTGAAGATATACATGTTATTGTTATCAGCTGAGCTTTGTTTGTGACACATATGTTTATATTTTCCGGGTCGCACATTTGTTTACCCGTTGCCACAGCTACGAGCTACATCAGCAATTCCTTGTTTACTGTTGGGCTCTGTCATCATTCTTCTGTCGTTTAAAATTTTCTGCTGTGTATAATATTTTTGTGATGTATTCTCCAAGCCAACGGATGTTTTAAAACCCTACCTGATCACCTTAGTTTTCTCCATGAGGTAGATACAAACAACAATCATGGAATGCGCACCTGCACCTAGGACCGACCATCCTATCGACAAAGTCAAAACGTCTGACTTTTATAGAACGTGCAAACTTCCAAAGAGATTCGACTACCCACGTAAGTTTATCGCTGAAATTGAATAAAGTTGTGTTTCATTAAGCTATTTTGCTATTTAGTTAATCGTAGTTGAAAATATAGCGCTTCTTGACATTAGGATTGGCCAAATTTTCATATCAGTAAGATTGAGAGAAATTAATTATTGTTGATAAGTTCATGAACGGAAATCCTAAATCCTTATCATAATATTATGGAAACATTTACCACAATGCTGTGTTTAAACGAACTAAGCTATTAAACTGTCGTTGGTCTGCATGAAAAAGTAGAATGGACGAGGTTCAAAGGGGGAAAGTAATTTAGATTACAATTTTAATGTGTGTAAATAGGGTAATAACACACCCCCTCCCATAATGTAATTTTTACATACCAACAAAATTTCTACAATAATGTTGACCCTGTAAAAATTGCTCATTATGACAAATAGAGCTCTTTGCTTCTAGTAATGTTTTTCTCACCTGTTGGTCTACTGATTTTGTTTATTCGTTTATTGCGTGTTCACCGTGATAGTCTAACATTAAGCCAGTGTTTTAACCCTATCATTATTTAACTAGTTCATTTTTCTGACAAAAGAGAGCCGTTGAGATTCGAATTTGGTATCTTTAGCTGCTGTAGTTTTAAGTAAAAAATTGCGACTCTTCCTTTTATAGCTCCTATATTTTGTAAATTTTCATTTTCTCAGACAATATACTGTACATGACAATTTGTCTCTTGACAAATAAAGAAGCCCTAAAATCAACTACAGAATTTTAACTCATAATTAAACTTGTTGTATCATCAATGTTTGTATTGAGTAGTCGGTTTTAGTTGTATTTACGTTATATGGTGGAAAGTTTCATCATAATTTACTTCTATATACTTAAAATCACTTTTTGACGTAGTCTACTGTATTATTGAACTGTTTATCGTTATGACAGTACTATATTCATTTCCTCTTGGTATTCAGTATTGTATAAAATGCGTAAGGTATTGCGTAACCTTATAAAATGCATATTGCGTAACCGTAACCAACAACCTCTTAGTTTAGTTTAGCTAGAATAGGCCTATTAAAGAGACGAAGATTTTAAACCTTTGACAATTTATATCCAAAATGCCATGGTATTACTAAAATTTGCAACAAATTACGTTATAAATTTTCAGTAAAAAGTAGTTTTGCATGCAGGTATTTTATTTATGCCAATTTATGTGAGCAAACTAGAGGGTAAACAAGTTTATGTGACACATTGTAGGAAAAAATTTTTGAAAGAATTATTTTAAAAAAGGTTGTCGGCCTCTTGCTTGCGTTTTGATCGGCCATACGGGCCTTCAAAGGCAGTGCGAGAGTCGGCTGACAGTGGATGAATTATACAGTTCTGATGAATTTTTGGTGGCGGCACAAGGGAGCGAACCCACGACATCGCTGCCTTGTTCTCATAGTCCGGCGAGATATTCGACTGAGCGACCGGCTTATCAATGCCTACATTATTATCGTTTATCATAAAGCACGCATCGTTCTAGTTTAATACCCTATATCCCTTCGTAGTACGTGTCGTCTTCTGCGATTGTGTATTGAGTTTGTGTGGTGTGTATTGTGGCGTGTATTGTGGTGTGTATTGTGAGGTGTCCTGCAGGGTGATACATAATCGATGACCACACGTCATATGACACGCCGTTGTTTTCGCCACAGAACGGGATTTTATAACTCAAAAGCAGGGATAAAAGTGGTCTGTGGGATAAACAGGGATTTATTGTGAACGTTGGATTGTTGACATTCATGATTGGCTAGTAGATGTTTCAACTTGAATACAATTTAATAAATTACTTTTAGTAAAGTATACTACCATGTACTATAATATGTACTATGGTAAATGAATATCACGGTTCATGTACTAGTTTACTTACCTATTAAAAAATTTTATGAAATAAATTGAAACCCGGGTCATCCATTTTGAGCACGAGTCTACGCTGAGGCAGAAAATCGTAAATTTGTTATGCTTATCTAGTATCGTTCGAATCATAACGAAACGAGGAAAGTCCTACAAACAACCTAACCTAACATAACCGCCGAAGTGCGCTGTAAAAAAGTGATTTCCGTATAACGAATATACAAATTTTGTATATAAATCTTTTTTATTTTTTTATGATTTTTTTTTTTAAACCCAGGACTAGCAGTAAATGACAACATGTACAAGTTCAAACAATTGAAAATCCGAATAGGATACGTGAAAATGTGTACCGTGGAATTGTAAGCTTAGTTGATGAATTTGCAAGGATTTTGAGGGATAAAAAGGGGACATTAGGTAATATCCGGGATAAAATGGTACAAATCGGCTAGTGCGTGGGATTATTTCCCGTTGAGTGGAAGCGAAGGAGACGCGCGCGGCCAAATCGATGCGCCGCGGCCCAACTTTGATATCCGTGTTTTGTTGTGTCAGTCAGTAGCAGTGTGGCCCGGCGGGGCATCTGTCTTGTCTGCTGATCAGCTGATCCTGATGCCGTTGATGCAGCTACGCCTGTTTGACAACACTTTGTGCACTCCACTCACAAAATATTTCAAAATTCTACGTTTAGATAAATTTAAAAGATTTTGTCAAAATCCCTTATTTTGGTTAATCCCCTGAGTAATTTCAATGTAGTTGGGTCAGGCTATGTTATTTCTTATTTTATTATCTTCAAAAATATAAAATATATACATTTCTAACAAAAATATAAACTTAAACGAATGTAGTTACAACACCGTGCATTTAAGGAATTTGGACTATGAAACAAGAGACTACTAACTAAAAATGTGGGTTTTTGCTCAATAAGGAGAAAGCTCTTCTTGTCTGAAAAAATATACGTTTCTTTGTATAGAGGGGTCTAAAGATTAGGGTGGGGTCTGAAATGTTGAGTCGAGATATACAGGGTGAATAAAAAGTCAAGACCCCCCCATCTAATATTTTTCCAAGTAAATATACAAAGATATACTTTTGGGGATCGTGCAATCTTAGCAGGAAGTTTCATTTTATGATTTTAAAACTTTTGAGTGTTCCCCCAAAAGGGGGGATTTAGGGGGTAACTCAAATATTTTATATGTAAACCCCCTGCAAGTGACACCTCATTTTGAAGTGTTTACAATAACTTAAAGAATGGTGAAAACTAGAGGTCGCTATCTCTTCTCTATCCAAAATGGTAGCCCGTCAAATGTTGTGGAAAATCAATGGTAAAATTGGTTCGTAATAGTAATATTGGCTAGCATTTTGGATGGAGAAGAGATAGCGAACTCTGGTTTTCACCATTCTTTAAGTTTTTGTAAACATTTCAAAATGAGGTGTCACTTGATGGGGGTTTACATTTAACATTTTTTAGTGTCCCCCCAAAAGGGGGATTTGGGGGGGCAACTAAAAACTTTTCAATGTAAACCCCCTGCAAGTGACACCTCATTTTGAAGTGTTTACAAAAACTTAAAGAATGGTGAAAACCAGAGTTCGCTATATCTTCTCTATCCAAAATGGTAGCCAATATTACCATTACGAACCAATTTTACCATTGATTTTCCACAACATTTGACGGGCTACCATTTTGGATAAAGAAGAGATAGCGACCTCTAGTTTTCACCATTCTTTAAGTTTTTGTAAACACTTCAAAATGAGGTGTCACTTGAAGGGGGTCTACATTTAAAATATTTGAGTTACCCCCCGAATCCCCCCTTTTGGGGGGACACTAAAAAATTTCAAAATCATAAAATGAAACTTCCTGCTAAGATTGCACGACCCCCAAAAGGATATCTCTGTATATTTATTTGGAAAAATATTAGATGGGGGGGTCTTGACTTTTTATTCACCCTGTAAGTATACAATATTTATAAAATAAATTGGTGGTTGGCGGGATTTGAACCTGTGACTAAAAGTCTACCACTATTACAGCTATACCTACTGATAAATCTTCACGGAAATACAATTGTCTTTCATTGAATTTACTTGTGTTTGATATTAAGATTTTTCAACACCTTCAAATGCAAAATTCCAAACCACCGTCTTTTTTTTCGTATCGTAATTTATGTCTAAAATTTGAATAAATATTGTTGTAGAGTAGACCATTAGTGTGTGGTGACGTAAGTGTAGGTGACAATGCTGGGATCGATCTAAGTGACCCTTAGACCTAATGTGCATCATCACGTGCGTGGGCTATGTAACTATACCAACCTATACAACGTTTACCAACCTAAACTGACGATAACTTGAAAACTGGACATGTTTACAGATCAAACGGTAGAATGAATACAAAGTTTTTGGTCGTATCATGGCGTACTTATCGCAGCTAATTGTATATATCAGCATTGAATGAATCATAGATAATTTCGTTTTGGATAGTTTTATAGCTTGGCTAATATACAGGAAATTCATGTATATTTTCTGATTTCTGATTTCTGATTTTGTTTCCACAAGCTCAGAAACTAAATTGTGTTTTGTGTGATTGTACTGTATATATTTATGAAACGTTTCTCTTAAAATAACAAGTTTTCAATCTGTAAATGAAAAGTGTTTTATGTCTTGGGATGTAGCTTTTTAATACCTAAATAATCCTAATACTTGGGTTAACTTTTTCGGTTTATTTGTCGTTTTAGCTAGGTTTGGCTATACCATATTGAAGAAGGTTATGCATTCTTTTTTTCTGTAATCATCGACGATAAACATTTAAACAATTTACATCTCTCTGAGCTTAGAAAAAATTTTGGAAATCTTCTGCAAAAGACTTATAGTCAGTATATGAAAAGGTTGTCAAAATCATCAGTCATCCATTATTGTGGAATTTGACCGATAAGGTTCATTGTTAAAAAATACAATGAACGAACACAACAACACTAACGCTTCTTCTTTATTCAGTAGGATAAATAATAGGCTACAAGTGTTGATTCTTCTTTTGATGTAAAATAATGCATTAGTTTCTCTGTAAAACCCTAAAAAAAGAAATTTACTACAGCTCAAATATGTTTTCATCACTCTGTATTCGAAAAAAATGCCCATTTCCACATATAGATCGAAAATCGTCAATTTCCATACACCAAAAACAAATAGTGATCAGTTGACTTTTCCTGACATAAACATTAATTTCGCTACACAAACTTTGCCTGACTAACAAAGTTACAACTGAAGTTTTATTTTTTTCAAGTTTTATGAAGTAGTTTTTTTTTCGTGATTAAAAGTATCGTTCAATACTCGCCACACAAGCCCCATTCGGGATGAGATAGTGTTTACATGCGAGTCGAGTGAAATATACTATTTCTTAATTAGGCCTAAAACAATTTATATTTTGACAGAACTGTATTTTGAATACTTTTTATCGTGACGATTTTGGTTTTGTAACTCGGTTTTGGAAATCGGGAAATCACACTCAATGTCACTTCTCTTTGGTGACAAAACAAGAAAGTTAAGTACAGTGCACAGAAAATCGGAAGAAGCGGAATTTTTGTACAACATTTATACTACAGAAAAATGAAAATGTAAGGGACCGCCGCTTTCTTTATTCTTCGGCAATACATTCGCGACCGATGATGTATTTTAGGTACGTTATGCGGTTACGACTGTCCTTCGAAATTCCAATGTTAATCAAATGCCGCAACCAGTTTCGTAGCTGATAGTATCCATACGTAATCCTGACATTCAAATTACAATCGCTGTTGATAACACGTCCAGAATATCAACAAACTGACTCACTAAAGATTGTACGGAACAAAGAAAACGGAGATGAAATGTGAAACTTTAAATGAGGCACGCGTTATCGCTAATTGTCGATTTCGCAATGAATAATCAAAAGCAAGGAATTACCTGGAAACTCCTTTATCTGAGGTAAAGGAGGCAAATGATAACTCTGGTTTTGAATACTAAATTCTTCTTCTTGTCATATTGAAAAATCTGGAGCCTATTTTCAATTTGGGTGAGCAAATGGTGTTGACAGGGAATATATATTTCCCTTTTATTTTGAATGTGATCTGGACAATGTGAAATAAGTTATTACAGTAGTCTTAAATAACGGAGAGCAAGCAATTATTACTAGCAAATATTTAGTAAAATAGTGTCTGTCGTTATTGGATAAACTATAAAGTTTATCAAATAACGACAAATAATAACTAAGAATTATTTTATTAGTACATGGTACTTACATAAAAAAGGATCACCTTGAAATGCCCATAAGCTGATCGGTAAGCGTGACAAATCCACAAGGGGACGAGTGTTCGACACTATCACATAAAAGTTACTTTTTAGAAGGTGTATCTTTTTTATTTTTTTTTATTTATTGTATGCACGTTTTTAGAAACCCCTTACTATACCCTTATTTACTAGTATATACCTATTAAAATATACCTAGTAATACCTCTTAAAACTGGGTGTTCAAATACTGTTATACTGACAAAGAAGAGTTAACGCCCTCTTAAAACATTTTAAAGAAGAGTAGAACTTTGATGTTTTGCAATATTTTTTTCTGATACGTTTAGCAGAGTCAGAGGTTTAGGATAATAATGTAACTGGACCTCTCATCCTTTTGTAAAATCGAAAACCCTTTATGTGTGCTTCGCGTCAGGTCAAGCTTGAGTGCGCTGACATCGACTGAATGTTCCTCTCATATTTTAGAATAAATTATCCTGTGTGCACCTTACGCTTTTGGTAATATCATCAGGGGATAATCTACAACTTAAAATTTTAAAACATATTGTCTGATAACAATAGTTTAACGCAACTAAATAACAAGAAATAAATACTGAAACATAACACAGTATTTATATACACCGTACAAAAAACCCTAAGTCTTGCATAGTATGGCAAATTGGCATGAGAATGTGTTAAATTTCTGCATGATCTAGTGTTATGACTTGCTGTTGCTACTAATGTGTCATTTACTGTACAACGCTATTAATTTTTGAACACGTAACTTTAACTTTCACGTTCTCTCCGACTATAAAAATCGTAAACCGCTCTGCTTCATTTGCAGTAATAATAGATTAGAGGCTCCTTATGAAAGGACCCATAGATTACTATGGTATAATTAGACTACGGGTTCTATCCTCCCAGTCGCCACACTGTACAGTAAATTGCAAATATTTATCCCTGAGGTTGATAATTCACGTGTTTCTATGTTACAGAGATGTTCAGCAGTTATGGTTGTCAGAGACGACCTCCCGCTCATCCCTTCTACCTCACCACGTCATCAGACTACGGGTTCTATCCTCCCAGTCACCACACTGTACAGCAAATTCCATATATTTATCCCTGAGGTTGATAATTCACGTGTTTCTATGTTACAGAGATGTTCAGCAGTTATGGTTGTCAGAGACGACCTCCCGCTCATCCCTTCTACCTCACCACGTCATCAGACTACGGGTTCTATCCTCCCAGTCGCCACACTGTACAGTAAATTGCAAATATTTATCCCTGAGGTTGATAATTCTCGTGTTTCTATGTTACAGAGATGTTCAGCAGTTATGGTTGTCAGAGACGACCTCCCGCTCATCCCTTCTACCTCACCACGTCATCAGACTACGGGTTCTATCCTCCCAGTCGCCACACTGTACAGTAAATTGCAAATATTTATCCCTGAGGTTGATAATTCTCGTGTTTCTATGTTACAGAGATGTTCAGCAGTTATGGTTGTCAGAGACGACCTCCCGCTCACCCCTTCTACCTCACCACGTCATCAGACTACGGGTTCTATCCTCCCAGTCGCCACACTGTACAGTAAATTGCAAATATTTATCCCTGAGGTTGATAATTCTCGTGTTTCTATGTTACAGAGATGTTCAGCAGTTATGGTTGTCAGAGACGACCTCCCGCTCATCCCTTCTACCTCACCACGTCATCAGACTACGGGTTCTATCCTCCCAGTCGCCACACTGTACAGCAAATTCCATATATTTATCCCTGAGGTTGATAATTCACGTGTTTCTATGTTACAGAGATGTTCAGCAGTTATGGTTGTCAGAGACGACCTCCCGCTCATCCCTTCTACCTCACCACGTCATCAGACTACGGGTTCTATCCTCCCAGTCACCACACTTTACAGCAAATTCCATATATTTATCCCTGAGGTTGATAATTCACGTGTTTCTATGTTACAGAGATGTTCAGCAGTTATGGTTGTCAGAGACGACCTCCCGCTCACCCCTTCTACCTCACCACGTCATCAGACTACGGGTTCTATCCTCCCAGTCGCCACACTGTACAGCAAATTCCATATATTTATCCCTGAGGTTGATAATTCACGTGTTTCTATGTTACAGAGATGTTCAGCAGTTATGGTTGTCAGAGACGACCTCCCGCTCATCCCTTCTACCTCACCACGTCATCAGACTACGGGTTCTATCCTCCCAGTCACCACACTGTACAGTAAATTGCAAATATTTATCCCTGAGGTTGATAATTCTCGTGTTTCTATGTTACAGAGATGTTCAGCAGTTATGGTTGTCAGAGACGACCTCCCGCTCATCCCTTCTACCTCACCACGTCATCAGACTACGGGTTCTATCCTCCCAGTCACCACACTGTACAGCAAATTCCATATATTTATCCCTGAGGTTGATAATTCACGTGTTTCTATGTTACAGAGATGTTCAGCAGTTATGGTTGTCAGAGACGACCTCCCGCTCATCCCTTCTACCTCACCACGTCATCAGACTACGGGTTCTATCCTCCCAGTCGCCACACTGTACAGTAAATTGCAAATATTTATCCCTGAGGTTGATAATTCTCGTGTTTCTATGTTACAGAGATGTTCAGCAGTTATGGTTGTCAGAGACGACCTCCCGCTCATCCCTTCTACCTCACCACGTCATCAGACTACGGGTTCTATCCTCCCAGTCGCCACACTGTACAGTAAATTGCAAATATTTATCCCTGAGGTTGATAATTCTCGTGTTTCTATGTTACAGAGATGTTCAGCAGTTATGGTTGTCAGAGACGACCTCCCGCTCACCCCTTCTACCTCACCACGTCATCAGACTACGGGTTCTATCCTCCCAGTCGCCACACTGTACAGTAAATTGCAAATATTTATCCCTGAGGTTGATAATTCTCGTGTTTCTATGTTACAGAGATGTTCAGCAGTTATGGTTGTCAGAGACGACCTCCCGCTCATCCCTTCTACCTCACCACGTCATCAGACTACGGGTTCTATCCTCCCAGTCGCCACACTGTACAGTAAATTGCAAATATTTATCCCTGAGGTTGATAATTCTCGTGTTTCTATGTTACAGAGATGTTCAGCAGTTATGGTTGTCAGAGACGACCTCCCGCTCACCCCTTCTACCTCACCACGTCATCAGACTACGGGTTCTATCCTCCCAGTCGCCACACTGTACAGTAAATTGCAAATATTTATCCCTGAGGTTGATAATTCACGTGTTTCTATGTTACAGAGATGTTCAGCAGTTATGGTTGTCAGAGACGACCTCCCGCTCATCCCTTCTACCTCACCACGTCATCAGACTACGGGTTCTATCCTCCCAGTCGCCACACTGTACAGTAAATTGCAAATATTTATCCCTGAGGTTGATAATTCACGTGTTTCTATGTTACAGAGATGTTCAGCAGTTATGGTTGTCAGAGACGACCTCCCGCTCATCCCTTCTACCTCACCACGTCATCAGACTACGGGTTCTATCCTCCCAGTCGCCACACTGTACAGTAAATTGCAAATATTTATCCCTGAGGTTGATAATTCACGTGTTTCTATGTTACAGAGATGTTCAGCAGTTATGGTTGTCAGAGACGACCTCCCGCTCACCCCTTCTACCTCACCACGTCATCAGACTACGGGTTCTATCCTCCCAGTCACCACACGGTTCCAACGTGCTTCTACCCTCGCAACCAAGCGTTTTCCAACGCCCTCGCCAAGGCTGGCATGTACAGAAACTTCTCGCTGAATGTGTGATGCACGACGCTCAATATGTTTGTGATAATAAATAAATTGTTTTCATTTTCCTCAGTACTTTTTTTTATTTCCAGGCGGTTTTTAATCTTTTATACGGTATTCTGTGCGAACATTTTACCATAACTGTACTAATTGTATTTACTGCAATTGTATTAGTAATGTTCCTGTAGCAGTGATTTTGTTGTATTTTACGGTCAATTTTTTTATTATTTTGAACCCATTTGAAAGGTGAATACCAACAGCATAAATTACTAAGCACCAATCGTTTTAGTGACATCGACATCTTAAAGAAATAGCAAGAGAAACGGTGAGTACTTTCATGATTTTAGTAATTTGATTGATAAAGGTTACTTGCAATTTAATTCGCAAAATAATAAATTGTTAAAAAGGAAATAGTATATCCTACATTGCCCAGAGTTTGCTAGAGACCTTTATGCGGTACCATTAAGATGAGTGAAGGAATTGATTATCGAATGTTACTACTTACACATTTTTCTACTTACAAATTGTTCTTAATTTACTTTACACTAAACTTTTTAAATTTGAGTATTCGAGCGCAAATAAAATGGAAAAATATATCGAGTTTCGATCTTTTAATTCCATTAATTATTTGAGGCGTTATCAAGTATTTTTTTCATAGGGTGATCACCAGGTGAAAAGTAATTGCTCCCATATAACAGCAAGCGTCGAGTCACTTAAAACTATTTACAAGTTTTATAAAAATTTATTTTTTCGAATTTACGTGGAACCTGTTTGATAAAAAAGCTAGAAAATTCGTCACGTGGAATTCCACTGCATTCTATATCAGGTTGAGATTGAGAGTTGTGACGTAGCAGAGCAGGTGGTCTGGGCGTTCACGGGGTGTGCGGTGTGCGCATGCGCGTCAAAAGCCAGCGCTTCCTGGCGGTTAGCGCGGGGACTAAACAGCTGATCTGTGCGGACCCGACACGTCCGCCTTGCGGCCGTCTAGCGGGTGACGATATCACGAGAATTAAATGTGCAAAAATTTCAAAAAAATATTATTTACCAAATTACTATGGATATTTAATATTAAAATTAAAATAAATAACTATAAAACAAACAAGAACTAAGTAGCTTTAATATAAACGTGTTGTAGAATATTTTAAAATTAATAAAACCTGGATTACTCAGCCCCTCTATGTTTCGCAGTATATCGACTGTACTGCATCATGGTTGGTAAAATAAATTAATACGCGAATTGAGTAAAACAAAATGAAAAAAAAATCTAATGTACTTTCCACGTTTTATTGCAGCTAAGTGAGTTATGGTTTTTAATTCGTTAATAATTAATTGAATATCCAGTTTATTACGACGGGCGTACTGAATTTTCGTTTAATATAATTAGTATACCGAGGACCTGTATTTGTTGTAAAATGTATATATTTTATTTAACCTTCTGCAACGGAAAAATGTTGTAAAGACCGCCTAATCAATACAGTAACAGGATTCGGTAACGCCTCGGTTGTATGATAAAATGATTCAAATAATCACACTGCTACTTTACAGTTGCTGATGAAAGGATCAAGAGGATATCAGAAATCTACTGGTTTCAGCAAAAGCAATCTCATCTAGAACGTTCGGCTGGCTGCTGAGCTGTGATTGTAATTGTGTGATTGTGTGAGTGTGAGGAGTTGTCAACAGCGACGCGCGGCCGTGGGGAAAATGGCGGATACAGGACAGGGTCTCCACTACTGCTCGGCTGTGTTCAGTTGGCTACTGTTACTGTACTGCAGCCAGTGTCAATGTTTTGCCAAATACCAAATGTTATCTTTTTTGTCATCATAGTGTGTAATGGCGATCAAAGTATGAGGTCATTGTCGACGTTTACATTTCAAGACCAAGACCGAATTGCCAAGATTAAATAAAAAAATAGTTCTGAGATTTTAAAGTCAATTAACCAAGCCTATTTACTCATCTTTACAGGACTGATCAAAATAAATAAATGGAGACGTCACAAATGTGTTGGAATACTGTAAAATTTGTAATATTTATTATACAATTAATTTCAGCAGTCACAATAAAAAACATTTGACATTTTTTAAACAAAATTGAACAACAAGGTTCATAGTAGTCAGAAAACTAATCCATGTCATAACCTGATCTACAATAACAATATTAAACTAAACTATTGAACTTAATCAGTCCACTAGACACAACTTCATGTTTGTGGTTTTGATAGATAAACGATAAAGATCTCACCAACATTGTTGATTTTTTGTGTTCTATTTAATTCTAACGTTAAACAATGCACTGGTAATCTCTCGTCTGATAAAAGTAGCCACTGATCTTGCGACCGGTAAAGCTTCCTACACCTGTCAGAATCTAAATGGTAAGAAAGCATGCCTAGCAATCCTGTGATTGCTGATTCAGTTTATAAAAGTTGGAGCTTTTTGGCATTTCAGAACGAGGTATTTTCAGTTCAGTTGTTTAATCAACGTGATATTATTTAATTTAACATTTTACAGGTGTAAAATTTGTTTGATTTGATTTCTAATTAATTTGTTGTGACAACGTATTTTCAGAAGTTTGCTGCCTGTAAACAGTCTATCTAAATGGATCACAATCACATTGTGAGCTGTTATACGATTAATCGATTAATAGTTTTTTGTTATCTGATTCTATTCCTTAACTAGGCGTGGTTAGAGAAAACAATACCAGTGTACCTGTTGCTCGAATTCGAGTAATAATGTGTTCAATATGTAGCCTGAGACTAACGGAATAGCTTATTCCCTAAGTGGGAAATTCGCTAAAGAGGGCAGCACAATCTTATCTCAATATTTCGATTAAAAAATGTGCTCAGCTGTTTCTTATTGACTGGAAGCAATGGTGTTATTGACCATAACATAATGTGAAATTCGACAAACACGAACACTTTTCACCGCTGATGATATCACTGATATCAGGAGTTCTTGGAACGTAACGTGATGTCCGAAAGTAGAGTTTTGTTAAGTCGGCAAACCCGGATAGCGCATACTGTACCATCTCCTGTCCTCCTTACTCGTAGCATTGACTATATATACATTGACTATATATACCTTATAGTCAATGCTCGTAGCTAAAACCATTGATAAAACCACAAAACATATTCCCTTCCCCTTGGTAGATTTCCCATCCTTATGGAACAGCTAATTAAAGCCAATTTATCGTTAGTCGTGTTTACAATTTTTTTCTTGTTATGTCAGTAATTTAAAGTCCCGTTTAGTCAAATAAAACGATATAATCATATACAATAACTCATCCTCTGGTTATCAAACAGTAAAGCACAAAGCATGAAATTAACTCTAAAATAATAGAAACGAAATTTCGTCGACGCAATTATGTTAGTTGTGAAGACGCTATCTGCATTGTTGTCGATGCTAATAAACAATAACCTATACTGTTCTAGCATTGCAAGGACGATGTTACCCTTAATGGTTGATTGTTTTGTTAGATCTTTATTGATCTTGGAAGATAAGGTTTTAAATTAACTCTCTCATCTTGAGATTTTCAAGTTTGATACTAAAAATACGTTATAAATTGTTACTTATTATGCGTAGTCTATTGCTGTATGAGTTTGAACATTTCATTTAGACCTAGAAAAATTAGATATCGTTCTGTGCATGCACTTTAATTTACTGTGCAAGATTTGGCCAAAGACTACCTTCTACCAGTGAACGAATGCAAACAATTCACATGTTTATCAATATATAGTTTTTTATTTGTTTGCCATGAGAAGAATTTTATTATGAAATAAAAAGATACGTGTTCAAACAAAAACTGAGTATCAAAATCACAACTAAGAAGTGAATTTTAAATACATGTTGGTTCGTAGGAAGAATGTCAACGGACAGCAAAGCCTAATCTCAACCAGACTCTCTGATAGCATTTTCTCTGTTGCGATACGAAGTTGTATTATCTATCACTCCACCAAAACATCGGACCTGTGATACAAGGCCAACACGTAGTACAGTCACAGTCATTGCATAAGTTATATTGTACACTCATAGGGTGATGCCATTGATTTTGGATACTGCAAGTAAAATTTTCATCCTGTTGTAGAATATGATTTTTATCCTCGTTTCATGAACGCCAGTTACATTCCAATGTGCTGACGTAAAATAATTGTTTTTAACTAACTTATTTTAGGATAGACTGATTTAGGATCATAAAATAAACTAGGTGGCGTTTGCAGGGGCATCCACAAAATTGAGCGGAGTCATCAAGGGTTCATATTATGTTGTTTTTGTCATACTGCAGTAAAAACAGTCGTTTTAAATGCCTGCGTTGCGGGTCTAAAGTAGCATTTTTACTCTTTAGGGAGTAAAAATCAGCTGTTGTCAACTCAGTTGTAAATTTCTATTGTAAACGATTGCATGTATCGAAATATGTATCGATTCGTGCTTCGTAATCATTTTAACCTACAGTCTACAGTCTCTACCCATAGCATTTTAGCATCGCAGATACATTAATCCATTCCCACACTCAACACTGCTCACCTTTACTACTTCCTTCACCACCCCCTATGTCGTGGACCTGTTTCCCTCTCTTCCCATAGCATTTTAGGATTGCAGATACATTAATTTAATTGCCAAAGACAGTTCCCACACTCTGCACTGCAAGCCTTACTACTTCCTTCACCATTTCCTACGTCATGGACCTGTTTTCATCACTTTCCATAGCATTTTAGTATTTTAGATACGTTAATCTAATTGTCACAAACATTGCCCACACTCCGCACTGCTAGCCTTTAACTTCTTTCACCATTTTCTATGTCGTGGGCATGCTTCCATCCCTTCTCATAGCATTTCAGCATTGCAGATACATTAATCTAACTGCTACAAACGGTTTCCAGTTCCCACACTCCACACTTCTCACCTTACTACTTCCTTCACCTCTTCTTACGTCGCGGGCCTGTTTCCCTCTCTTCCCATAGAATTTTAAGATTGTAGATACCTTAATCTAATCGTCATAAACAGTTCCCACACTCCGCCTTGACTACTTCCTTCACCACTTCCTACGTCACGGACCTGTTTCCCTCCCTTTCCGTAGCATTT